ACACATACATTATCTAATGGTCATAGCACTTGGCTAACATCTACTTTATTGCCACTCTAAAACCCAAGGCAGTCTGTGCATGTATAGTCCATATACACAGAAATATGCGGGACAAAGTTCAAAGTCCTTTTCCCTTAGAGACCTTCTAGGCAGTCTCTACTGTCCAGAGAAGGGTCAGTATAAACTTTTGTAGAATTTTGCACTAAAATATTTTAACTTTAGATAACATCCTTTCTGTTTGATGTATAAGGTTTAGAAAAACTTTGACATGTATTTTTACATCGAACAAGGATGCTGGATTCTATCCCTCATCACAGCTAAACTGACTAGTACATATACAGCACCTCTTTGGGATTAGTAAGAAAAGTGGGAATAACTCAAACAAGCAAAACATGCTGCAATGCTCCAGTGGACACCTGACTGTTGTCAAAGTCATAACTTAATTTTAATTTGCTCTTACCCATGGAGTTGATGGCCTGCTGCAACTCATGGCCCTCTATTGTCCCACTCTGGTCCCGGTCAAAGGATGCGAAGGTCCCCCTCCAGCCATTCAGAGCCTGCCACAGGTCCTTGAACTCATTAAAGCCCATAGTGCAGGACAGATCCCTCTGAGATAGCAGAGTCAGTCAAGGACCCTTAATACATCACCCAAGTTATGGTTTCCTTTCCTTCCTATAACGCACTGTGTCACATAGTGTTTTTCCATTAGCAACTGTCATCATATCAGTTAATCCACTAAACATGTCTTTTGGATGATTAGCTGAAGGATACGTCCAACATATTGATCATCAGTCTGCATGTCTCAAGGCTAAAGGCTGTGGAAAGAAACAAAGCTCATAAAGATACAACTGATAACTATGTTTGGATTCATCTGGGCAAATATACAAATAACATTAACTGTGTAATAAGGAGATCACCGTTATTAACAGGTATGACAGACCGATACAAACACTGATTTTAATCTGTATACAAGGTGGTTTAAAGATTGAACAAAAACAAACACTAACTGCTCTCATATGTAACCACAGTTGTGAAGTCACGCAGAAAGAAATGTGAACGAACGTTGACTAACTACAACAAACCACGTTCTCTTAACCCAACACCTGTCCCCCCATGTTTCCTGTCTGCATCAACGGTCACATACAAAAAGACTTCAAAAGCAGAACTATTATGGGCTGTTCTGTGTTTTTAAGCTATCTCATTGAATTCATTAACAGTGCAAAACAGTTCTCGAGGTCTCGAGGCACTGAATACAATACCAGTGAAACTGGTTAGCACTTAAACTGCTGCTTGCCAACAAGAGAGTTCCCCTTAATGCTAAATGATTTTTAGAGCAAAGGTTTTTATAACTATGACCAAAAGTCACACCACAGTACTATTTAACAAGAGGTACAGATATAATTTAGATATAAAATGAAATGACCAAAATCCATATTGTGTTTGAGGTGCTTTTTAAATTCTAAACAGCCTTTGCTCTTACGTTGGTATGAGCCAGAGATGCCAGATTGCGTGAGGCAGCGCTGCAGCTCATCTGCTGAGATCTGTCCATCCTGTCGGGGTTTATGAAAACACGGCAAAGTAGGATACACAACACGGTTAAGTAACTATCAGCTACTTTACAAAGGTTTAAAGAAGCATGAATGGTCATTACATCAACAGTTCATCAGGTCCAAAATCAGTGAAGTGATTTGAGACTTTGACTTTTGTCTCTTACCTGACCAGCAACAGCTGAAAAATAACCATAGAGAGGATCTTGTTGCTGAAAGTTAGAACGAAAGAAATCAAAGTCAGCGAGATTTAGCTGATTCTTCATATTATTCTGTATTTGTAGATACACTTGAGTTCCATAGAACTCTATGTCCTGCTATGAAAATAACAAACTATACTTTATACAAACTTTATTATAAAAAAAATCTCAATATCAATAAACATATTATTTTTTAATTTCTTAAATGCTTTTAAATGAAAACCTTTAAATGAAAATAGATGATTTAGATATTTCACAAAAACAACAGGATCTTGAAGGATATCAATATAATATACTAATAATAGTATACTATACTAGTGTATAATAACACACATATAACAGACATTATCTGTCTGTTCATGGGGCTTTTTTACCACCCAACTCCTCCTAAACACTTATTTATTTTAAGTTATTAGTTAAGGAACCAAATATGACACTTTTTAGCATTTTTGGAATTTAGGTTATATATAAAGGGCTTTATCAATTAGTATGACATCATCATGTTGCCTAACAATGGACTAAAATGTTTTTAGCAAAGGACTTTTAGCATAAAGGCAGGTGTGGCTCAGGTGAAGTGGATGGTCTAGCGATCGGAAGGTTGTAGGATTGTTCCTGGCTCCTCTAGTCCATGTGTTGAAAAATCTTGGGGTAATACCCCGAAATGCCCTCAATCCATTGTAGTGTGACTGTGTTAGATAAAAGCGCATTATGAATGTGTGTCTGTCAACCAACAGTTCAATCATCTAATTACTTCAGCTGTAAAAGTGACACACACTAACAATAGTTAGGTTATGTAGGTTATGTAGGTTACCAACCTCCAGTTTCAGTCATTTTAAATCAGCAGGCAAAATCAATCATGACTGGGTGAAAAACTTTCTATCAGGTCTCCTGAGAGAAACTAAAATGTAACCACAGGATTTATAAACCAAAACCCATCTAGCTGATCATTTCACAATCCTGTTTGCCACTTAAAAGGCTTGAAATGATTCAGTGTATTTTCTAATTTGCATGGCTGCTTTCTGAGGCCTCATTGAAGAAGATGTGCCATCCTTCTCCAGCACCATTATTTCTGTCATTAATGGACACTGTAATCAAAATAACAGATATATAGATAAATAAAAGCTGCACAACACATCTGGATACAATCATTACAAGGCACTTGTTATATAATTAGTATAATTATTAGTATAAATCTAACTGCTTTAGACTACACTGTGAACAAACTGTTATCTGCTCTGATGAGGTGTGGCAGCTTCAGATGTGCTATGGTTAGGATTTTAGAAACAATAATCAGGTTAGAAATATGATCCACTATGAGCTTATTAAATCCCACTTGATGCTACTTAAAGTAAAATGTGATAATATAAGAATCATGGGTATTTGTATTTGTGTTGCCTCACAACAAGAAGATCCTGAGTTTGACTCCACCACCTGGTGAGGGGCTTTCTGTGTGGGGTTTACATGTTCTCTCCGTGTTTGCATGGTTTCTTTCCGACTTCCTCCCCACAACCCAAAGACGTCCAGTTAGTGGGGTTAAGTCAAATGGTTAATATAAATTTGCTAATAGGTGTGAATGTGAGTGCGAATGCCCTGCATCAGGCTGCCGACCTGTCCGGGTAGTAGCCCGCCTCTCGCCTTTGGTACCTGGGATAGGCCCCAGCCCCCCGCGACCCTCATAAGGATAAGCGGAAGAGAATAGATGGCTGTGTGTTTGCACAAATGCCTACATCATCTTATACTCTGAGTACCTTTTAAGTAAAAACACCACTTTTGCGCGATTGCGGAATGCATCCTTTATACAGTCATTAGTTAGTACGAATCTAAAACACACAAATACTGCTCGAGTTTCATTTTAAAGCCGAAAAATTCTTTAAGATACTTTGAAACCAAATATATTGTCAAAATGTTTGCATGTTATTTCAAATGGAAACCTGTATGTAACGGATCTAAACGCGGAATTTCTGTCAGACCGTCCAACTTCCGGACTGGTTGGAAAAGACGCCCATCCCGGGACGAAGGTCGGCTGATGGCTGTAAAACCGTTTCATCACAATTTAACGGTTTCTTACCATTCCTGGAAATCCACCGGGGCCAGCGCCGTATCCGGGAAAAGCCATCTTATTCCTGTTACAAAACGAAATAAACATAAGAATAGTAACGACTCAGAGCAAAACAAATCTAGCGACTGAGGGCGTGTCTGGTGATGTATGCAGGAAAACACCGAGAAGTGAGGTTATAAAGTGCCGTGAAGTACAATGAAGCACAGATCTAAATGTGAACTTACCTGATATAAAAAGTACGACCTCAGAGAAGAAACAGACAGATGTGAAGCCTCGCAGGGGCAAATGTCCACTTTCCTCAGTGCGAGCCACTACATTAAGTTCTGATTGGAAGGGAGAGGACATGTGACCTCTAATTGACCAATATGATCAAGAGGGCTGGCTGTAAAAGTGAAACCACTCTGCAGTAAATTAATGGATTAAAAAATGTACATCATAAATATCAGTCAATACTTCAGTTTTAAAGTGGTTAACCACCACAGTCGAATAATTTCATAATTTTTACGGTAAAAGCCTTTAGTGACATTTTACTATCTATGAGCTGCTGTACAAAGCTTTTACGTACATACGTGGGATAACAAGATCATATTGCACATTTTGTAATGCAAAGTGTCGTGATCTTTGTATTATTTCTGGTTATGTTGTTATTATTCTCTTTCTTCTTTTGTCCGTTTTTGAATATTGATTGCTGGGTTTTCGTTGTTATTCACACTTCCTGTTTTGCCAGTGGTTTTCTCTCTGTGACTGACTCCTATGTTCGCCTCTGTCTGCAACTCATTCAGTTCACATATTATTTCATTTTAAAGCTTAAATCGTCATGTGGTTTTTTTGTGGTATTATTAATCCCATGTTTTGTTCCCACCCTCCCTAAGGGTTTTCTCGTTTCTCTTTTTTTGTCTCCTCATGATCAATCATTGAGGTCTGTTTACCAAAATCTCGATTCCTTAAATGCATCTGGAGGACAGAGGAGCAGGAAGAGATATTAAACGAAAAAAATGGGAATGAGAGAAATTAAGTTTAGTTTATTCCCCTTCCCTCCTAGTGTGTTTGCTTTCTTTGTTTTCTGGATTTATCTTTTAGCTTAGTTGACATGATTTGTTTTTGTCTGTTTGTTTTGCAGTACTTTGTTCATGAGATTGAAGTGTTTGCATCAGTAAGTATCCTCAAGACCAAAAAATGAATCAGGAGAAATGTATTGATAGAAAAAGTTGTCAGTGGTTTATAAAGTATAAAGCTAACATGATAATGCCCTGGAGATTTTAAATTCCACTTTAAATTGCCTAAGACATACAGAATGTTTTTTTTTTCTTTTTACTTATAGTTTTTCTGTGATAAATCCTTATAATCTTTCCTTATGTTGGCCCTTCCTTAAAGATAACCAATTAAGTAAAAATAAATTATCAGATGTTAATATTTAAAAAATGACTGGATTTGCCAAAAACAAATAATTTTATTGCTGAAAGCTAGGTACAAAACTAAGAAGTTGATTTTATTTATTTATTTATTTATTTATGTTTTGTGATTAAAATACAGGACTGATCCTTTAATGTAAGACATTACATCAGAGGCAGAAACAAACAGCCCAATCAGCTTCTTCTCTCAAGTGGCTCATACAGTCATTTCCTCTGCTTCCACCTCCAGTCCAGAGAAAACCCAATCAGAGGCTCCATCATTTGTTTAGGAGGCAAAAAGGCAATCTGTTTCACCGCTTTAACCACACGCGTCAGTGAACGGTGCTGAAGTTGGCGCTGGGATGTACAGACTTAGTCATGAATGCTGGAATTGGTCACCCAGACCTTCTCTGTGTCTTCATCCTCAGCACTCAGGGAGCCTTGTTTCTGTCATGGTGAGCCACCAAGAAGAAGAGGGGGAGGGTGAAGAAACAGGAGAACTTCCAGCTGTATGTTGCTATAATACAGGTAGGTCTGAGACGTCAGGTTTTTGCAGCTGTAAATGCAGCAGGACAGGTTAAAAAATGGGAAACATAACAAAAAGTAGGCACTAAAAATGCATAAAAAGCATATCTAATTATTAAATGACATCATACAGAACCTTACTCATTGAGAGCAAATCTACATGGAACGTATGACAAACATAACATTTTTTAAAGAAAAAAAAAGAAAATGCATGTGTGTTCAGTTGATCACAATGTCATTTAAAAAACTGAACGATATCACACATACTATCTGGCCTAGACTAATAAAAAGGATGTGCTGTTGTATTTAGTTATATTAACTGATAATAAAATAATAGAAATATCAATAAGGATCCAAGTCATCATTGTGCATAAAATGAAAGTGTAGGTTGATTTCCCAAGAGGAGAGCTAAACAAGTACACATGCTCAATTTTTTCTCTCCTTAGCTGCCACATTATGTAACAAAAGTCACATTTAAATCCAAGTATCTCTTATTGCTGAAGAATGAGTTTGCAAAGACTTACTGTTGGTAGCAGGACTGCTTTCACCACTGGAGTAAATGGTATAAATTACAAATCTTAACAAATCTAATCCTATTTAATGTTGTTTTTTTGTTTGTGAAACCCCACACTCCCTGCTATTTCTGTATATTTTTTGTGTGTGTATGTGTGCGTGGGAATGTGTACCAGTATACTGCTGACTGCTGACCACGGTTTTAGTCCAAACCCAGCAGGTCTAATCAGCAGGTGGAGGAAACAGATGGTTCAGACATATGATTCAGCCATGACGTGTAACTCTAAGCCACCCTCTGCATTAATAAGCCATGTATATTTTGGTTGTTGTTTAGTGTAATGTATAGCTCGACCTCAGCCACTGATTGGTCAAGTTAACTTTGTATCTCACATATCTTTCTTCAGGATGTGGTGACATTATCAGTCAGTCTGCTGATGGCCAGTGGTCCATCTATGAGCCTCAGGTCCACTCAGGGATTCCCAACAGCACAGGGCTGTGTCAGCATGACGCGGGTGCTCCTTTGCAGCAAATAACAGTGGTTGAAGCTGAGCAAGGAGATGTATTCCAGCATTTCATGGGTTGTCAGTGCTGTGGAGGTCCAGGGATGGAAACCCAGAGATGTGTTTATAGACAAAGGGAGCAAGCTGTTTTGGGTCACTGCTCATCAGGATCTCCATTTATCTACTGTGGAGGTGAGATTACACCTAGTTTCTAGGGTCTTTTCCTTAATGATATCCTTTCCCTTTACCTTAGCAATTGTGATATTCAATGTACTGAACTAAGATGTTCCATCGGAGTGTTTAAAGCTGAGATTGCTGTTGTCATTCAGCCAACACAAACATATATTTATGCAGGCATCCATTTGAGACATATCAAAATGTTCTTGTATTTAATTTAAGCAGTGAGGAGGAACGTGATCATTGGAGTGGAGGTTGTAGAGGAGGTTGCAGTTGAAGACACTCTGGAAGTAATGTAAGTATTTAAGAATTATTATATCATATACCAAAATTATTACAGCAAATAAAGTAACTGTTTAAATATTATTTTGCACAACTAACACTTGTACACCTCATAACCTTTTTTTGTCTAATACATAAATACACCGCAGTTCGTACAAACATACTACATATGGTTGAAAAAGTTTGTTGCTTGTGTATCTCTTCCCAGAACAGAGGATATTTATGCAGATGATCTGCTGGATCCAGATACATCACAAGAAAACCCCACATGAAGCCGGAGTGCCTTTCAGTGTTTCTCAGTTTCACTGTACGCTCTGTAAATAAAATTTAATTCACAGTCAGACGACAAATTTAAATGAAATGCAGTTGTATGTATTATGAAGACGCAGGGCTGAAAAGCTTACCTGGTGTTAACATGTCTCCAAAGCTTAGGGAGTCAATGCCACTCTTCTAAGAAATGCCATCATTTGGTGTTATATGATGATAGTAAAAAATCCAATAGAAAATGTCCCATAGGTGTTGATTTGGGTTAAAATTTCATCACTTTTCACCACTCACATCATATGACCGAAGTAATTCTTATGTTTATTAAACTGTACAGTGACAGAATGACACCTCACACCCAATTAAAGTCCTACAAAGCACTAACCTGTTACAACGATCACCAATGGGACAGAAATATTATATCATACCATAGAAATGAGCACTTGGAGAACAATTTTCCATCAGTGTGAATTGAGTATACTCAAGGGGACAAGAAGAATCAAACTATGCTGCACAGTTCTAAAATCCACTGCGTTATGACTGTATGGTTTAGAGTTCTGTATTTATCAGATATGTTTGTATTCTATATGAGTCCTTGTCTTTGATACTTATGTATACAAATAAAAAAGTTACAACTAATTTCTGAATTGCTATTATTTAATATAATATAATATAATATAATATAATATAATATAATATAATATAGCAACTATTGGACTTCAACTACCAGCATGCATCGCTATTGTTCTTCCGTCATCACTGTGCGCAGGATATTCCGCTCTCCAGTACAGTGAACGATCCTTGTGATGATTTCAAGGGAAAATCTTTGTTCATTTTGATATAAAAACCCATCATGTCGGATTCATTACCGCCGCTAACTCTACAGGACCGCATGGAGCGTCTTCAGGAGCTGACGGAATTTACTGAAAAGTGCAAAAAACAGATAAACGACATATTTGAAACGCTGGGATGGTCGCTAGACTACAAGAACGCAAACCAGGTAGCTAGCGTTTGTTTGGCTAATGTTAGCATTTATTGTTCAGTCAAAACAGCAGAAAACCTTCTCGGAATGTTTTGTTTTCCGTAGCAGCAATAGAGCAGCATCAAATTTAAGCGTTTAACTAAGTTTGAGTCCAGAGAGATTTGCTTAAGTGACTATAATGGAGTTTTTCTCTGCTGCCTAAGCTAAGCTAAGTTTGGGGCGTTTTCGGTGAGTTTCTAATATTTTTTTCTGGAGTCACTCAAGCTTGGTGGTAGATTTGCTGGTTGCTCTCGCCCAATTGGCACTTTTATTTGCTGTAATGTGGTTCTATTTTGGCTTTTTTTAGTGGTCTACGTCTGATGTAATAAAAAAAACTATAATTAATATGTCATGTGTCTTCTAATAGTGTTTTTATGCTTGCATCTTATAATATTTACCGGATTTTTTTAAGGCCGCTTTTCTTTTCCTAAGTTTTTTGTTATTTATTTTTTTAATGTGCTCTTCTCAAAAGTTTCAACGAGGATGCTTTTGAAGCTACACTTTGGTTTAAATGTCTTTGTTTACATGAAATAGTACAAGTTTTCCTTCTTTTGATTACCACATATACATTTGTATCTTCTTGGCGATCATTTTCTGGTACTGAAGATTCAAAATAGTGACATTTCAAGTCATAATTCCCGCTCTGAGCAGCATTTGTCAATGACTGAAAGGAAAAACTCCCTTTAAACTTTACATTAGGAAGATT